CCTACCAGCCCAGTGGTGGCAATCTCGTCGAGGCCGTTGACACTTACACATACCGCCGTCCCGAAACCACCAACGGCGAATACGGCAACTTCCCACGTCGCGGTCACACTGAGCACGTTGTTGGTGGTAATAGCAACGTTTTTGCCAACGGTGGTAAGATTGTGAAGAGCGGAGACAAAGTTGTGCCTCTCGGTGGACCTGGGTAAGTATTGATACCATATTGCTTCATATCCGCTTTTGAATCTCCTTATACTCTTTGCTCATATTGTCAACTGCCCTGTTATAGCTCCGCTGAGGAACGCCCCGGATTGGCCCGACATGGCGGCATCACTGCATAAACGCCTCGTACAGACAAAGGTGAGACTTTTACGGATTATACCGATGCCTTCAATATCGGCCACTGACTCTTGTCATTCCTCACAAAGGCATGAGCGGGTACTCTGATTGAATCGGGGCAAGGATGGGGGCATATAGAAGGCGGCGAATATAAGAACAACGTAAAACGTGATACCGTAAAGCGTGATAAGGGTTTTGGGTGGAGGACCGAGTCCACTACGCATACAAAAAAATACATGTGCTGGACTTTAACTGCAACATTCTGAGCCCCTGGCAATTTTGATCTAGAGATTATCACTGTTGATTTATTGTTCCCGAGGATGTCTACAGGAAAGTTTCTCTGCATCACAGATCTCCGCGAAGGGGACCAATCCAAATATGCTCTCGCTGTCAATCTATACCATCGCTTCTTGCAATCAAGGGATAGGATCGAGCCGCAATACACAAGGCTTCGTGCCTTACTCGGCCGACGATCAATAGCAGCCCACATGTCATTTCGTTTACACCAGCCCCAACCCCAACCCCTTGTGCAACACAAATTAGCGACAAGGTGCCGTCGACAGCAGTCAGATATGCACCGAAACTGAGTTTGCCGCAACAGGTTCAAGACCAGCAAGCGCCTTTGTTATAAAGCTCAATGGCAGTGCGTGCCGAATGACTTAATTATCGGTGGTGAAGCGGACGTTGGGACTTGAACCAACTGAGCAAAGAGAACAGATGCAACAGAATGCTGCCTAGTAATTCTTAAGAAACGTCATGCAGACAGCCTTCGGAAAATGGGCAGGCTCCGCTATTTTTTAGTATCTTTCCGCATGAATTGAGGATGAAGTCCTGGCAAATGTACCATGCAGGCTCTGACGGTTGTCCACAACACACCATAATATAGAACGATACTTTTTGAAAATCATGACCTGTAAATCTCGGCCAATACCGTCCTCTTAGACAGCAAGCAGGGTACGCCGAGAGTTGCCCGGCGATGCCGGCGTCCCACTCTCCATGTCCTTTGCATTTGGGTGACCAACTTGTTATCGACGGGTAACGCGCTTCCCACGCACTTGGATGACTGTGCCAGGCGCGACATAGCGAGCGCGACCATGATATTGACGGTGACTGACCGCACCGGTTCGTGTTCCGGTCCTTCGAAAAATCGAACGCAATTATGGTACGTTGGGTTAGCGAGAAATGATGGGTTTAACAGGAAGTCTGCCCCTGCGGTGGTCGCGATGCCTACCGAACATATGAATGGAGGAAGATGCGTAATTTACGACAATCGGATGGATGGATGGATGGATGGATGGAAGTGGGACGCGACATTCCGGCCAATGAAATCGACAGCATACGACATACGAACGATTTGACGTAAAACCAGCGCTTTCAAACGACTAGCTGGAACCGCCACTGTCCTGGACTCTTAGGAAAACGACACGACGAATCTGAGTTGGGATGGCATTTCGACACCGCGGGAGCAGATTAGAGGATTGATTTTCGACAGTAGCAGAACCCAGCACTTTTTTTCTCAACAATATTCTCTACATCTCGCCACGTACAGTCTTCGATTACCGTCCCCGACAAGGGCCAGTTCCAGCACATTCTGCGTCTGCTCAACACCAACGTTGATGGCAGACGTAAGGTCATGTACGCCATGACCCACATCAAGGGTGTGGGTCGTCGGTACGCCAACATTGTCTGCAAGAAGGCCGATATTGACCTCAACAAGAGGTGAGGAATATGTCCGCATACAACGACCTCTGGATGGTGCCGGGGGTTCCTGGGGTTATGGCGGGGAACGGTTAGCTCATGGCTTTTTTTTCGACAATATCAGGGCCGGTGAGCTGACCAACGAGGAGCTTGAGCGTGTGGTTGTTATCCTGCAAAACCCCCGCCAGTACAAGATCCCCGACTGGTTCCTCAACAGGCAGAAGGACGTGAAGGACGGCAAGTTCTCGCAGGTGGTTGCCAACTCTTTGGACAACAAGCTGCGTGAGGACCTTGAGCGCTTGAAGAAGATCCGTGCTCACCGTGGTCTCCGTCACTACTGGGGTGTCCGTGTCCGTGGTCAACACACCAAGGTAAAAACAAAATGGACAGTCGGAAGACAACAAGAAGTTTCAGTGTACTCACGTATATGATCTCCTCTTTCCTTTGCTAGACGACCGGTCGTCGCGGTAAGACCGTCGGTGTTGCCAAGAAGAAGGGCTAAGCCCATTCCGCCCCACCCACCGTGGTCGCTTCTTCACACACACTCCACACATACACCCTTTTCCTTCCCACCCACCACCTGTGCGGGTGCTTGTTTATTTACCCGAGCCGGTTTTGTGTACAAGCACGTTTACTTCCCGCCAATACATTGTATAGGACATGCTTTATTGAAAATGAGAAAAAAAAAACTGCAAAAAACCCCAAAAAAACTCGGCGCTTGTAAACTGTGCGGGTGTACTTGGTGCTCGTATCATCACACCCGTCCCCCGCTTCCATTTTCGGGGATATTTCCTAGGCGGGCTGCCTCCAGTCAATGACGGATATTCCACCTTCCCGCAAGACGAGCAAGACCTCGGCATCGACCTGCTGCAGGCCAACCACATCGCCCGCGGTGCCGTTGTCGGCCACGCCCAAATCAATCAAATACTGGTCCGCATGGATCTGGCCCGGTTCGGTTCGTGCGTAAATGTACAGGAGTCGCCTCGTTTCTGCAATGAATGCGTAGCGTGAGTCGTAGGTGAAGGCCATGAAGCGCTTGTCGCGTTTGCTGGCCTGTACGAAACCCAGGGCGTTGAACGCGCCCGCGGGTTGGAGTGTCAGGGGCGGGAGGAGGGTGTAGGTGAGGGCGTCAATGTCGGAGCGGAGGGCGACGCCGTGTGAGTGGTGGTGGTGGTGGTGGTGGTGGTGGTGGTGGTGGTGGTGGTGGAATGGATGGGGTTGTCGTTGCAGCGCGGTTGAGGGCGGCCGCCATGGGAAGGCAGAGCACAGCCATTCCTGCGCACCGAGGCGACACACGTGGGTGGGCTCGCGGTTGGGGGCGCTTGTTGCAAAGCGGACAAAGATGGCGGCGTCGCCTTCAAAGTCCACGTCTTCCGAGGGTTCCGTCATGGCGTTCTGCATCGGCCGCGACGCTGCGTCCATTGCCAAGGCCGGGGTCTCGGGTGGGGCGTCGTCCGCAGTGTACTTGTCCAAAGCCTGGGCAAACGCGGCGAGTTCTGCCGGGTCGAGGGTTTCCTCGACGCCGTCGTCGTCATCGTGGTCCCAGAGATGCGACCACCGCGTTCCCTCGTGGGTTTTCTGGAGGTACAGAGTGAGCATGGTCTGGTCCTCGTCTTCGATGGTCCAGATGCATTCGGACGGAATGATGGTGTCGAACAATTTGGATTCGAGGAGGGTGTGCTCTGAAGGCCGCAGGGTTTTGCATTTGAGGGACGTTGGGGTGAAGACGCAGTAAATGTCCTTTTTGGTGACTTGCGCCGGCAGTCGGATTGACACTGTGATGTCTTGGCCGGTTTGGTACCATTGGTAGTTGGCCGGTTTTGGTTTCGCGGACGCCAGACCAAGTGGTGTCGGTGGGGCTGGGACTGTTTCGTCGGTGGTGCCGTTCTGGACTCCAAAGAGGGTGCTGGCGCACACCGTAAACCCTTTGCCGTCTGGCTCGATGGTCGCAAAGTACGGCACGCTGAACCCCTCGACGGTTGATAGAGTGGTTGCTGGTACATCTAGCGAGCCACTTATGGCGCTCACGTCCACCGAGAACAAGCCAAGGATGAACGAAAGGCGCGGCTTCTTCTCCAACGTGGTCTTGTCCGCAAACGCTGTCGTTGTATGCGCTTTAGGCACATCCACCTCCCGTTCCTCCATCCTATACGCCAAATATAGTAGTTTGCCGGAATCCGTGATCTGTGCATCGAGCAGAATGTACGCATAATCGCCGATCCCTGTGATCAATGTGACGTTGGCGGGTGTTCCAGCGCCAAACGACTGCACCGTCTCCATCACCACGACGGAGCCGCCCCCGGAACTTGCTACGATATAGGATCCGGCACGTTGCACGGACGGGTATTCGCGAGCTGTGGCTGGCAGTGATGGGGCCGGGAGTTGGCACACTGTTTGGAAACTGAGGCCATACGTGGCCTACACATAACATACCACCATCAGAATGCTGCGTTTCTATATCACACCACACACACGGGGGAACTATACTCGTACCTCATCCATAGCCACGTTTACGACGTTATAGTGCCCATCGACGTAAAGCGCACCATTGTAGCCCGCAAACGCAAACAGATGATTGAACGAGCTGCGCGCCTGCAGTTTCCGGAACGGGTCGTGCGATGAAGACGGAACGTTCGCAATAGCGATTGGGGTGGGAAGCGGGTGATAGCCGGGTTCGCGAAATGGACCTTCCAGCTTCAGTTTGTAGCCTTCGAATCTGAAAAAATGATATTGAGCGTCAAGTAATGGCAATAAAAGGCCATTTGAACATCATGGAGAGTGGAGACAGATCCTTACTTGGGATTGAGAAGACTCCGATCAATCGGGAGCTCTACTTGCTGCGTTGGATCTGGTGATGGCATGGTGACGATGGGCAAGTGAAAGATTTCGACATTTGTGAATGACTTATTTGTGTGGATTGTCTTTGGTGTTAGTTACCAGCGTAACGGATTTTCCAGGCTCATCCGGCGAGATTGGCTCAGTTGGCAGAGCGTGAGTCTCATAATCTCAAGGTCGGGAGTTCGATCCTCCCATCTCGCAATGACACTTTTGAATTTTGGACCTTATCCCAGCTTGTTGCTGGTCTCGCACAATCGATGCAACCCTTTTGGTGCAAACAAGTTTTGTTTTGTTTTCTTATCTCATCTGCAAAGCGGAATTGCTTGCATGCTATCGATCCGAGTATCCATGCCATTTCGCCAACGCTTCAGCAAAGTAGAATCACTACGTCAAGCAGCACGCTTCTCTGTTTGCCGTGCGGTCTGCAGGGGAAAAAGAGAAGGAGCAGCAACTGGAACCTGTTCATCGGCCGTTACGGTCGTGTACCCATCATGGGGCGCGATTTTGCTGCATCGCGCTGCTGCTGCGCCTCAGTCGTCCGCCGCGGGTTCAGCCTGGCGCGGTCGACATAGCAAAAAATGCCAGTGCCTGATGCCTCCGCGCATGGGCCTCTCTGACGGTGGAGTTGGCGCCATGCAGTTTTCAGCCACAGCTGCAACCTTCTCTAAAAAGGGCGGGGCCGAACTCTGGCCCATCTCTGTAGATGTCAAAAGGTAGACTTTTACCCTCCCTTATCCTAGTCCAACAATGTCATCCGGCCCAGCCTACCTCCACGCGATTGTCGCAACGGCCGCCTCGCCGACCGAAGCGTCACGCTACAAGGTGTTCAGTCTCCGCATCGAGTCTCCCAATGTACCTCTTTCCCAGCTCCGAATCCACGCCGCGACCAAGCTCGGCATCGATCCCAACAGCTGGATGGCCGACGCGTTGATGCTGTACCGAATCGACGAGACGTTGCTCGAGGACGACACGAGGCTTCTGCAGGGCGAAAAAGACCCGACGACCCTGTTCAGGCTGACGGATGTGCCCGATTCCTTGCAGAATGTGGGCAGGTGGTTCCCGGATGTGACGAATGAAGCAAATGTGACGAATGCCCTGCATCTCCTGGTCCAGCTGCCGCCGGCTATGGATGCTGGATCCAGTAGTGCGGCGGGGCCCAGTCTCGCCTCGCTTAGTGCTCTCCCGCCTGCTTATAGCAGTCTGGCAGATGCAGCCCCGATTCCAGCCTCCGCACAAGGTTTGCATTATTTTGCCATACGCTGATTGTGTGCTGAGGAATTACACTAACGATGTTTTGACCCACAGATTCCAAAGCGGCATACGTTGACGCACCAGAACGCAGGCAACCCCTACCCACGGATCAGAAAAATGGTGCGGAAACAGCTGGCTATTCATCAGCCCAGCCTCCACTGCAAGTTACCACCACATTGCTCTCCAACGCCGCTCCCGCCACGGCCATGGCGTGTGTCGCAGGAGCACAGCAACCGGATGCAGGCGCTCCGTACCGCGCTCCAACCGCATCAAGCGCCTTCTCCTACGACGACTACGTCCGCCACAGCTTCCAGCACTCCGGCAACCTCGCCATGGACAACCCGACGCCCGCACCAAAGATACACACACCCAAACCAACGTCGTACACTATTGCGGAACCAGAGATTTGCCCGCAAGGTAGAGATGAGGCCAAAGGGATGATGCGACGGAGACTCATTTGGGGATTGCTGGTCGGTCTCGTCCTGCTGGTTGCTGTCATCGCGGTTGTGGTGGTCATGGTCAACAAGAGCAAGGGGTCGTCGTCGTCGTCTGGTATGATCTCATGTTTGTTCGAATCATTTCCTCAATCTTGTTCCATATTCCTCATCAGATCTTCCCTCTTACAGAAAATGTCGACGGGTCCAAGAATCCAACCTCTTCCGTCGGCCCATCCCCAACCAGTGGCACATCACCAACGGCCATCCCTTCACCGGCTCCCAAGACTTGGCTATCTTTAGCTGGCTACGATTACTACGACTACGACCTGCCCTCGTTCCGCACCAACAGTCTTCCCGGCAGGCCCACGGGCTCCATTCAAGAATGCGGCAAGTTCTGCGAAGCCGACGCTAAATGCAAAGGCGCCATATGGTTGCCTCTCAGCAACACCTGCTATGGCAAATCCGAGCTGGTCCGACAAGGCCTCTCTGGCAGCAACACCATATACATCATCTTTCCCCAAAGAAAAGAGGTGTTTGACAAGTTCACCTACTTGCCCGGCCAGAGTCATCCGAATGATGAGATTGTTTGTTATGCCAACACGGATCCGCTCACCTGCGGGTCGCTCTGCGTGGCGGTCGCCCTGTGCCAGGCAATCGACATTTCAGTCCCGGATAAGCGATGCTGCTTGAGGAGTGTTCCCGTCAACAATGTGGCGAATGCGACCATGAACATGTGGACCAAACCGTAATCGATAAAATATCCAATCCATTTGCCCTTTCCATTAGCTTTTTTTCTTCTCATCACAGTGTGGGCATCCTCCCTGGCTGGAGCGGCCCTCCCTTGAGCGGCAACGCTGTCCTGATTAATCAAACCCATTTATGGGACAAGTTGCTTTTGTACTTGGCCTCTTTTGTATGACAATACCATATGGCCGAGACAACGACTGATTAATCAAACCCATTTATGGCGTTTTATTGCAAGTTGCTTTTGTACTGGGCCTCTTTAATATGATAATACCATATGGCCGAGACAACGATTCTTTATTTTTCCCTCTTTGCGATGGAGCTGGTTTCCATCTTTCATCAAACAGACACAAATTGGCCTTACTTTGCCATGATACCACAACCCTGGCCTTCGTCTGAGGCTCCTCACCTTTGGGGAAATTGAGGGCGAGCGGGTCCTTGTGAACCACGATAGCTGAGCAACCCTGTCATCCAGTTACTCCGACACAAGAGGAGGTCATGTGCACCCGGAGCCATCACTTGTTATGGCTTGCCACTGCAGCCGCCACTGATCCATATCTGTGTCAAGCTCCCGCGTTTTTGGTGCTCAGAGTGTGGGTGGTGGTGTCTATCGCGCTGGTGTCTCTCATGATGGTGTCTCTCATGAAGGTGCGCATGTGCGGTTCGCGGCGCAGCAAAGACTCCCTGGGGGCAGCCATGTTTTCAAAGTGGGCGTGTTCGGTCCGGACTCCGCCGAGTCACTGGCAAATGCAGAGTAGTACATGAATGCTAGAAGTTGTAGAGCTGCGCGGAAATAAGCAGACTCGGAGCACGGTATGTTGGGAGGTAGTATGAGATGACTCATCAAATCCTTCTGAGAATAAAATGAAGTGATCTCGTAAAATATCGATACTACTGTTATAAATTTGGGTAGTTTTTTTGGGTTTTTGTCCATACAATCTATTATTGTGTATTACTGACTAGAGAGCAAAATTCAAACCCTGAAGTTGGGGTCGGGAATGAAAGGGCGAGTCGCGCGAATGGGACACACAGGATAACATAGTCATGATTGGATGAGTACGAATTGCACCCAAGCGCACTGCAAGGGAGGCAATTGCATCCCTCCTCGGCGCAATGGACCCACACTGTTCACAGGCACTCGTTCGCAACATGTCGCAAACATTTTTTTATTTGTATCTTCTTGGCTGGATGCGTCGCAGCCTCGTTCGTATAACGCCCTTGCTCGGAATGGCAGGAGGATACATAGGTACAAATGCCGGTACCAGCGGGGGGCCCAGACTTTTTTTTGTGACCCGAGCACGGCAACCGAATCAACCGTTAAATGAATTGCGCGGTCCACCTGCGGTCGGTTGCGGGCGAGAGCAGGCAGGGCCTTTGGGGCGTGTGGATCGGTTTGATTTGGCTCGGAGGGCTGTGGACATGAGTCATGCATCCATTTGGGGCCACCGGATTAATTACATTCCCCATGCCGACACCATGGCTGTGCGTCCCAAAAGTCTTGTGATGAGGATGATAGAAATGGGATGGGAACCGTGTCTTTCCTTTCCCACGTTTCAGCCAGTCACCCAATCAGTCAAGTGAGTCAGTCAGTTAGCCACTGGGGGCTCATTCGGTCAATCGATCCCCTCCGCTTCCGAACCCTCCGACGCCTTTCGTTTGGACACAACCGACCGAGCAGAAATACACAAAGCCCCCCTTTCCTTCCCTTTCCCTGCCCTGTCCTGCCGATTCCTCAAACACAAACGCCCGCCCCAACAAACTGCCTTCTTGCCTGACTATCGATATGTAAAAACAAGAGCATTCCCTTTATCATTAATTTCACTGCCCCCTTCCCCTTGCCCCCCCATCCTGCTATCAATATCTCACCCTCGCGCCTCTCCTGCTGCTAGCGCCTTCTGTCCATTTTGTGACATATACTATAACTTCCCCGCTCTTCCCCATCTCCTGCAGCGGTTGGTACAACGTCGCCAAGTGGCCGATTAACTGCCTGGCTCCGTGGTCCCGCGTGTTCTAATTCTGGGCTCCCTCCTTTGTCTCCGTTGGTCCATAAACCTGAAACCCTTTCCTTCCGAATTTTCCCATCCCCACTTCCCCACGGTTATCTGCTAGACATAGATTCTAACCTTGATATATACACCCTACACCGCACTTTGCATCGCCCATCATCCACTCGGCTCTGCATGACTGCCGTGCTCTCTCGACAACGACGATCATAGGCATCCCCCATCCACTCTGCAAACTGCATGACTGACCGCTGCGCGCACTCCTAGTAATTTCAATAACCAACAAATTCAAAGAATGAACTACCACCAACCTCTGGCTGGCCCCGCCAAACCCAAATTCGCCATGCGCGTGGAGAATCTGCTTCTCAAGGAAGACGACCCGCTTATCCTTTCTTCGCGGGATCGCTCCACCGGGAGCGGGAACCATCCTGGTCCGCCGTGCACGAGTCCTGATGCGCTTTGGTGAGTTTTCCCTCCCGCGTGCGACAGGTATTGTCTGTGGTCTAAACAGCAGGTCTGACCATGTTTTTCCTTTCCTTTGCCCGGTCTTGTCTTGTGACTATAGTGCTGTCACTGTACCTGCGTCTCCTCCCGCTGCATTCCACCGACGGCCACCAACTCCTCCCCAACTTCACTATCACATGGACGTTCAGCACCAACCCTACGGATACCCACCCTATGGACCTCCGCCTCAGGCTCCATGTCTTGTGCATTCACGAGGCCAGTACTTTCCTCCACCCTCATCATCCCATCTACCACCGCAGTA